ATCTTCTTCAATTTTTCATTCCTGAACCTTTGATTAAAATTACTAGTAATATGACAATGGCAAAACACATGATGGGCATGTGGTGGTTGCCAACCATGATGATTCTCCACAGCAGATAATATGCTTCGATGTCGATATGAAATGAGACATATATTTTGCATTTGCATAACATGACGACGAATGTTATCAAGGAAGTATTCACATGCTTCCAAGGTCTCGCCCTCAACAATGGCAAATGCTAGTGGCAAACATTCATTATTTCTATCCTGAGTCGTGGCAATCAATAATTTTCCATTATACTTACCATATAAATGAGTGCCATCAATTTGGATTAATGGTTTTCAAAAATTGAAAGCTTCACAACATTGTCTATAGGTCCAAAAAATGCGATGAAACACATTTTTCACGTACCAGTCGATGAGCAACAAAATAATCATCTTTTGAATATTATAAACAGAACCTGGAGAAAAGCGAAGCATATATTCACACCACCTGAGCAAAAAAGCATAAGACTCCTCCCAATCACCATACATCATCGCAATTGCTTTATACTTTGCATACCATGCCTTTCTATATGAAACTTTGAAACCATACGCATAGATGATCCTCTCTTGAACCAGTGTAGTTGAGACTAATGGCTCCTATTTTATCATTCCTAACAATCATATTGTAAGTAGACATTAAACCTTATTCATGTAACTATTAAACACAAAAGAATGACAAAATAATTCAATAGCTTACCTAGTATGAGTGAAGCAATAACATCAGCATCAAGCTATCTATGACCCTGAGAAATGTGGTCATTCAAGCAATTGTGGTCTCCATTCCATTTAGAAACTTTCCAATTTTCACCGTACATTGGTTTTATTACCCTAACCCTCCACGGGCAACCGTGTTCATGCTCACGACAATTCGTACTTAACTTTGTAGGCGTGCTTTCAAGCACAATCACTTCTTGATGCTCTTTCATTAGGTTTCTCTTGATTTCCATCTGCACCTCTTTTTTTATGGAAATTCTTGCTTAACATACAACTTATTACCTATTATCCATGGACCATTATTTGAACTTGAATGTAACGCTCGGCCGCTTCAAGAATCAATGACTATCCCCACATACTAACACTGGACTTTTCAGCGTGCTTTATCCTTACTCACACACTTCCTGAGAAAACTTCCCAAGAAGTCACCCATCCCAGAATTGCTCCAAGTTAAGCACGCTTAATTATGAGTTCTTCCATTTTGGGCTACCGAAAAGTATATGCATCTTGTTAGTATAGGTAGTACCAATTAATTCTTATAAGCTATCTCTAACTGTGCAGTTTCATACCTGCACAATCTTTGGAATCCCTCTTTTTCGGGTGTCGATTCGATTCATTCATGTAATCCCCGTTGGAAGCCTGCCAGGAGCCGCTCCTTGTCTGTGCCCTTTCTCACTAGCGATCTCTTCCCGCCCTCATTAGCGCTTGAGATGTTACACTGAACCTGAATAGGAACTTAAACTTGAACCCTCGTTATAAGAATCATGTTCCCTCAGAAGATCCCAATCAATGTATGTGTACTATGGAATTTCTTTCCAAAAAGGAACAACATCGTCACCTGCATGTTCGAAGTAAAACTATTAATTTTTTTATGGAAATATAAATGTATATTTTCATTGTTTACTAACACACCTTCTGAAATTTACGGTCACTGAGTGGACGTGATGTCATGATGTTCCTGGACATGAGACTCCCCCACAACATTATATTCTAGGATCTGAGTTTCAGGAATACCACGATCATCATCATTGTCCGAAGCGCTAGCATCCTCAGCAAGAAGTTGATCTTCCATTGCGATATTTTAATCATCACCATCATCTTCCACAACACAGGTAGGGTCATTTTCTCCTTCAATAGATAGATTAACAACTGGAGCAGCAGATGATGATGCATTATGTGCAAAATTGAAATCAACTGACCTAATGGGTAAAGCAACATCCTCTGCTTCGGCAATATCCTCGTACAACTCTAAAAAATCTTCCCTTGACTAATTGAAAAATTCTCCAATTACCATTTCTACGTCTTCATCATCCACAACTTGCATACTAATATATTGTGATTCACACCATATTCTTGCAGTGACCACATTGATAGATTATTTACCTTCAAAGCGCTAATTTTTGATGTAGTTCGCTAACTGTTGAGTTGCGTATGATGCGTGTTGGCCTTTTCTCGCCTTAAAAAATGACACCACTTCGACCTTCTATTTTTCTACCTTTATAATTTAAAACAACACGAACAGAATCAGAATGTGAACTCATTCTTAACTATATTAACAAAAAAACACAAAACAGAGTATGAGTAAGCAAATGAGATTGTATCAAAGACTAAGAAGTTATGATGTATAAGAGTTGTGAACAATGTGGAGATGATAGGTGTTAAAATAAGGAATCTGTATGCCAATCACGCCTAAAAGAGACAGGATATATGTGCGACGCCTGCATGGGGCATGACTAATCATGTCTAATTTGGGCGTGAATTACGTGGCATTCACACATAGTTTGGGCGTGAATTGTCTTGCCCAATTTGGGCATGAATAACTGCTACATACCCGTAAATAGTTTCAAAACAGCAATAGTTTCATTAATAGTTGATGTTTTACTATTCACAATATTAATGCTTTTACGTTTCTCTTAAATAAGATGTGTGGACAGTGAGTTTGATTCCCGAGAATGGTAAGTAACTACAGGAAAATGAGAAACTAACAGACATGCCATAAAGCATATCTTGATGTCAAGGGAAACTAACAGACATTTACTTTTTTTTTTTTCCTTAGGGGGTTCTTCATTTGAATCATATCTCAAAAGTGTCAGACTTTGCAGGATGGTCACTTTTTAAGGAGGGCTCGCTAGCAAAGGGTAGAGATAGTAGAACTTTGTGCCTCAATAATAACTGCTATTGTATGATGATAAACCTTTAGTTTATTTTATTTTATAAACTAAAATTATATGAATTATCAAGTTAAATGAGTAAAAACTAGGGTTTTGATATAAAAATCATGAATGTTATGAATTATGAATTAAATAATGTATATTTGCTATTTTGAAGGAATTTGATGATAAATGGAGTCAAATATGAAGATTGGATATATGGAGATAAAAACTAGAAGATATGAGGATCTATCTAAAGAAAATCAAGAAAAATCAAGTTGTTGAAGAGGAAGCTTAAGCCTCCATTTCGAAGCTTAAGCCTCCCAATTATTCCAAAATAAGCAAATAGCCACTGCCTGAGGAAGCTTAAGCCCCCAACTCAGGGCTTAAGCGCGACCAAGAGTAAAAGTTGTGTTTCGAAGAGCGCGCTTAAGCGCGCCACGTTAATTCTGCATGCAATATCAAGGAGGCTTAAGCGCGAAGATTCAGGCTTAAGCGCCCCAAAAGACCCAACTTAGGCCCACTTGAAGTATCCACCTAGGGCACGAATTCTTTGCCCTTAAAAACACATTTTGGGTCAGAATTAATCACTTTTTCATATTCCTAGATAGTTCTTGGTATTTGGAGGCAGAGGGAACGCAGAGAAATCCACAGTTCATGTTCGTGAGCGGCGGAGACGGATTAAAATCAAGCTTGCACTGGAGATATTGAAGATTCACCAATCAACTATGGAGTTTGGAGAAGCTTTTATATTTTCTTTCGTTCTTGATCTTGCTATGTCTGGCTAAATTCTTAAGCAGTTAGGGTTAGATGGAATTCAGTTAATCGTTTATGTCTTGAACAATTCTTTATGTTAATTTTCCTTTTTATCATGAATGAAATTATCTGTTCTTAATGCTTTATATGAGCTTGAATCTTATATATTGATCTTAGGTAAATGCATGACAATAGGAATGTTGGTGCATGATCTGTATCTGATAATTTCATCGAAAGCTTTATGATTCTAGGGATAGACACAGGGTTTGCGTAATCGTTAGATTCTTGAATTTAATGCTTATCTTCTTGTGGAAAAACCGAGGAACTAGGATTCTTGCAAGATTGTAAAGATTTAGGGTAACAAGGGATTGAGCCCTAATTACATTAGAAAGAATCGATTAGATTGATATTAAGGGCGATTAACTTAAAGAAGGAATTCAGACATAATCGAGAGATTGAAGGAAATCGAAACCTTAGCTACGTTTAATTTCTATTAGTTAAATCAAATCTTTAAATTCTTGTTTTTATTCTTGCTTTTAATTACTTTAAATATTTAAATTTCAATTCAAATCCTGTTACAAATGCAATTTCGATTGTCCAACTTAAGTCAAAGTAGTGAACTAGTGATTGAATTTTAATCCTCGTGGGAACGATCTCTTACTTAAACATTATATTACTTGTACGACCGGTGCATTTGCCGTGATCGCAACATTTGCCGTTATCGCCAACATATGACCCTGCGGATGGTCCATTTTTGTGTTTTCGCTATTATTTTCCTCATTTATATGTTTTCTAAATTCTAATTTATGACATAATGAACAAAACTTCGCAGCAAAACTTACTGATAACCCTGCGGATAAGTTGGTTGCTGTGATTAATGGAAACACTTTGTTGTGTTTTGCTAGCTTGACCACTGTGAATAGATTCATGCCAATTGTTTAATTTTATTTCTTGTTTGTATATGAATTTTATGGCATTGGCTCTTGCAAAACTCTTAAATGGGACTCCAATTTTCTTTTTTAAATAAAAGTAACTAAGAATTTTAACGAAAAGATAAACCCCGCAAACTATGTACCTAGCAAACTTTTTATTTATATATTGTTACAAACTATATTATATATTATGAAAGTATCATTAAGTTATACTATATACTTCGGAAGGGAAGTACGTAATATAATTTGTAAAAATTTGTAAAACGGATCATTCCTCCCACCCTGAGTAGGTCAAAACTACGTAATTTTGACCACAGTTTAAAACTACGTAATTTGCTACCGGGAAACCTCCGAAAGCACAATCTAAAGTCTAAACCAAACAAAACAAGACAACACACTAACATATGGAGCAAACGAGGAAGCTAGTGAAAGGTGTTTTGAAGAACAGCAACAATCCGAGATTGGCATGGCATCTTTTAAAGCGCATCCTTTCTTCTCCTTCGTCTTCGTTATCCACTTCTACTACTACTCATCATCTTGTTGCTACCATGACACGTGTCCTTGTTGGCGCTAACATGCAGCGCGAAATCGATGAACTCCACGAACTCATCGTGGCGTCGCAGGTCAACCACATTGCCCATTCTTGCATCATTTCCCTGGTTCGAGTTTTGGCACAATCGGGTCACATCGACAGGGCTTTCTCGCACTTCAAATCCCTCAGAACCCAATTCCCTGCACTTCCTCCTTCACTTTCCTCGTACCACTTGCTCCTCCACTTAACCCTCAAACAAAACCGTTCAGATTTCGTCAAGTGGTTATACACCGACATGATCGCCGCTGGTGTTAAGCCACAAACCTACACTTTCAATCTCTTGATTCAATCCTTGTGTGAATCCGGCGCTCTTGATCATGCTCGTGAACTGTTTGATAGAATGTCTGAAAAAGGGTGTCAACCCAATGAGTTCACTTTTGGGATTTTGGTTCGCGGGTTTTGTAGAGCCGGCCTCGTCAATCAAGCCTTGGAGCTTGTTAACAAGGAAAATCACAATGCTAATAGAGTTGTGTACAATACTCTGGTTTCTAGCTTTTGTAGAAGGGATCTTACTGATGAAGCTGAGAAATTGGTTGGGAGGATGAGAGAGAAGGGTATGTTGCCGGATGTTGTTACCTTTAACTCTAGGATATCAGCACTTTGTAGAGCCGGGAAAGTTTTAGAGGCGTCGAGGATTTTCAGAGATATGCAGGTGGATGAAGAGTTGGGAGTTCCCAGGCCTAATATCATAACTTTTAACTTGATGCTTAAGGGATTCTGCAAGCAAGGTATGCTGGAGGATGCTAGGTCTTTGGTTGAGACCATGAAGAAAATTGGTAATTTTGTCACTTTGGAAAGTTATAATATATGGTTGTTTGGGTTGCTTAGAAATGGAAAATTATCGGAAGCTTGGTTAGTTCTTAATGAAATGGTAGCCGAAGGCATTGAACCAAATGCTTATTCATATAACATTATGATGGATGGGCTGTGCAGGAACCATATGCTGTCAGATGCCAGAAGGTTGGTGGATTTGATGATCAACAATGGTGTTTACCCGGATACTGTTACTTATAGTATTCTCCTCCATGGGTACTGTAGCAAAGGGAAGGTTTTTGAAGCTAAAACTGTTCTTCATGAAATGATAAGGAATGGCTGTCACCCAAATACTTATACCTGCAACACATTGCTGCATAGCCTGTGGAAAGAGAAGAGAACACTAGAAGCAGAGGAGTTTCTGCAAAAGATGAATGAAAAACACTATCAATTAGATACTGTGACCTGCAATATTGTGGTCAATGGTCTCTGTAGAAATGGAGAGCTGGATAAAGCAATTGAAATTGTAAGTGAGATGTGGACTGATGGACCAACTTCCCTTGGTAAAGGAAACACATTTGCCAGCCTAGTTAATTCAATCCATAATGTATCAAACAGCTTGCCTGATGTAATCACATATACAACCATAATTAATGGACTTTGTAAGGTTGGAAGGCTAGAGGAAGCCAAAAAAAAATTTATTGAGATGATGGCAAAAAACTTGCACCCGGATTCTATGACCTATGACACGTTCATTTGGAGTTTCTGTAAACAAGGGAAGATATCATCGGCCTTCCGTGTCCTGAAGGATATGGAGAGAAATGGTTGCAACAACACTCTTCGAACTTATAATTCATTGATCCTGGGCTTAGGAAGTAAAAGGCAAATATTTGAAATATACGGATTGATGGATGAGATGAGAGAAAAAGGGATAAGTCCTGATATTTGCACTTATAATAACATAATTAGTTGTCTTTGTGAAGTAGGGAAAACAAAGGATGCCACTTCTCTTTTACATGAAATGTTGGATAAGGGCATATTTCCCAATATATCTTCCTTCAAAATATTGATTAAAGCCTTCAGCAAGTCTACTGATTTTAAAGTAGCATGTGAACTATTTGAGGTAGCTTTGAGTATATGTGGCCACAAAGAAGCCTTGTACAGTTTGATGTTCAACGAATTACTTGCTGGAGGACAACTCTCTGAAGCAAAGGAGCTATTTGAAGCCTCGTTAGATCGATTTTTCACATTGAAGAATTTCATGTATAAAGAATTGATTGACAGACTTTGCCAGGACGAAAGATTAGATGATGCTAATGGCCTTCTTCATAAATTGATTGATAAGGGGTATGGCTTCAACCATTCATCATTCATGCCTGTAATTGATGGCCTAAGTAAAAGGGGGAACAAGCAACAAGCTGATGAACTAGCAAAGAAGATGATGGAATTGGCTTTAGAAGATAGAGCTGCTGATAGGACTTATCAAAATAGAAAGAGGATCGTTCCTGGAAAACTACATAAGGATGGTGGAAGTGACTGGCAGGATATAATTAACAGGTATGGCCATTTGGGTGATGAATATAATCTTTCATTTCACTTTTGGGTTCCGTTCATCTTCGGAAAAATGATGATTTTTCATTAGATAGTTTGGGTTGTCCTGGGTTCAATTGTTTATTCAGTTCTTTTTCTTTGTCTGTGGTTAGTCTGTCCATAATCTGCATCCTTAATCTCTAAATGCGACTACTAGCTTTCCCAAAAATATGGTCTATGTAATTTCTTTTATAACTTTTGGACAATGACAACTTAAACTGCTGAATTTTAGAAGACAGAGAAAACTATGTTTGGATGAATGGAATACTACCACCTGATAGAACCTGTGGCCTCATTTCTATACCTTATTTATTAGACAGTTTCTAACTCGACTTGGTTGATAAACTCACACAGATAAAAACATTTTATGCGTTTTATTCATCTTTGAAAGATTTGCTTTATCATGTGACATCTAACAATATATCTTATTATCATTTGCTGCCATCTTAAATATATTAGTTCCATCAAACTAAATGTAAACTCGGATTCTACTATGCGTTGTATAATGTCTGGCTTTTTTAACGAGTGCAATCCACAATTTACTTATGCTACATATTCTTCGATCAGTAATAATGAATCGTTACCTAATCCTTGACAGGGATGGTGGCAGTGGAATTGCATTGAAAACTCTGAAGCATGTGCAGAATGGCTGGGGTCAAGGAAGTATATCGAGTTTGCTGCCTCAGCAGAAGGATTTTCTTGATTACTAAGATGGTGGTGGTTAATTGTTTTTTTTTTTTTTTTTTTCTGGGTATGCTTACCTTTTTCTTTCAACCCCAGAGGTGGGTGGAGGGAGTAGCAGATAGGAGAATGTAAAGGTTTGTGGTTCGAGATATAGAAGACCTATTTGTAAGTAAAGCAGGTTTTCTGTTAAGTCTTCATTATTCCTTTCAATGCCAAGGATATGCAATACCAATATTAATTCAAAGACCAGTGTATGAGTTATATAAACACTTAAGTTAAACATTTTCCCCTCTTGTATGTCCGCTGAATATCAAGGGTGTGCACTTGATAACTGTTCTGGATAGCCCACATGCATAGGCCTACTACTGGGCCCAATCTAAAAGGCCCACTTCTAGAAGACATCATAGGATGCCTCCTCTTCCCCATGCACACCAGCTGCCCCTGCACAAGGGCAGGGGTTCAGCATGCCTAGCCTGAAAAGGCTAGGCTGGCTAGGTTGACTAGGGCTCTTGCTCTAAATACCCCCTCTCACATTGAGGGACAGATCCTCTTCTTCTCCATTGAGCTTCATGCGCTGCCACCAGGAGAACAACCCTAGCCATACACACACACTCCCCCCTTGAGCACATACATGGGAAGCTCCACTAGCGCCTTGGTCTCTACCATGGTTACTATGGACACCCCTATATCAATATACTTCACCCTCACGGGAGACATCTATGTACCACCTACAGTACATTGGCGCCGTCTGTGGGAAACCATAAATTCTGATTCCCACTCTTCAACCGGAAGTTCTAAGAAAGCCGATAAACTCTCTTCTCTCCCAGTTTCACAACTCATAACCTCTTTGTCACTTTTCTCAAAGGCATTCTAGCAAAACGCCCCTTGTTTATTCAACTACAAAAGACCTGTTACTGGGTTATACGAAAGTCTTTAAACACAACTGAAGGAAAACCAGATCTACAAGGGAAATAGAAGAACCAAAACATCGGATTTCCAGAAATCCAAAAAATATTAGCCAGCAAGTCCATCACAACCTCATTCTTTGGGAGCATGTCGTTCAAGGGATACCAGCCAAGCACGAGACCGGTCTTTGGGAACATATCCTTAAAACCCAAACCAGTCAACTTCAATCCAGCGTACAACATCACTAAATTCTTACATTTCGGGAAGCCATCATCTACTGAGCTGAGAAACCAGCATTCACAATAAATGCCACCCAACAAGAAGAAAAAGGAAATGCCAGTGGATAGAGAAGGAAAAAAGACCCAAACCAACTCATGAATGGAGTTTGAAGAAATGACGATGCAGAACCCATCACTGCTTTATTGGCGATCAACCAACCGTACCAGAGTAAAAGCCTAATAAGCAAATCAATCCATATCTTCAGTTATTGACTCCCTCAAAGACTCCTCTTTTCCTTCCGAACGGTCAGAGGTAAGAAAGACAGCTTTTTCCTATGCACTACAGTTATTGTCCAAGACTTGTACAAACACGACTCCATCAAGATCCATACCAGGCGGTCATAAAGAAGGACATGTCAAAAAAGGTCCATTTCTTAAATGCTTTAAAAAATATATTACTTAAACTTTTCCAATCTCGTGGGATGCAATTTCAACAAAGCTATGTGTCATGAATTGACCAACTGATGGGCCCCAAAAAGGTGGTCTCCACCAAAAAATCAAAGGTAACACCAATTTCAATTTTATATATATTCGTGACTGTAGTCATGTGAATTCTGATCTTCAATCAATTGTCAAATCAAAATCAAAGACATTGGGGTGCGGTCTATCTTTAGAACTCGGTTTGTGGATGCGTGCTTTCTCGGAGGACGTGCACTAAACAAAGCTGTGATCTTGACATCAGTTCTCATATCTTTCTTTTCATATTATTTAATAAACAAAGCTGTGGTCTTGGCATCAGTTCTCATATCTTTCTTTTCATTTTATTTAATAATTGTTATATATATATATATATATATATATATATATATTTCAATGTGAAGTTTCTAGAAGACACAGAATAAAAGATGTAAGTTTGTACTAGCAAGCTGACAGAGGGGAGTAGACAACTCAGAGAAGCATGACCCGAGTCAATGGCGTAGCCAAACAGGGACTTTCGCCAACCTACTACAACCTTACAAGGATTAAAGGATCAAGGAATTTTAAAATAGCTTTCTTGTTATCACAGATGTCGAACGCCAGATGTCGCCTACACCACCGACCGCCAAAGATTAACAAACCAAGGAGGGTCCAACCGCCCAACGGTACCACCGCCCACTGTCACCGTTCATAAGCCATGACCCCATCATCCTTATGCCTATCACGCCTAACGCCATATGTTGCTAACCGCCCTACTGCCGGTCGAACCGAACGCCATATGTTGAAAGGTTTGATTTTTTCCACCCAAGTGTAAAACAACAGCCTTGAACCACCGCTCAAGCCAATCACCCAACGGTTTGACAGGAACGATCGCCACTCACTATTCAGTGGCTCCACCAGATTGGCCATCTTCCGGTCGCCAGCAAGCTAGACATCCACTCCCAGGTAAAGATGTATCTCATACTTTCATTCATATGGTTTAGTTTCAACCACTTTCCAGGTCGCTTACCACATGTTCGAAGAAATCAACAAATGCAATCCAAGAAACGACCGTCTTCACGAGTAATTCATCGAGCATATAGAAGATCCCTTCAATCAGTCCAAAGAATACCAAACTTGAAGGTCCCATCGCCCTAAGAAGCCACCGCCCAACATATCAAACTTCTTAGACCGTACAGATTCAGAAAATCAATAAAATAGAGCTCCAGGAACTCCTCTCCGGCAACCGCCGCACTACATGTTTACTGATGGGCACAATCGCTCAGAAGCCACACTGGCCGAGCATCAAGGAACCATTTTCCGCTTCGCAAACGAGGACACGCAGGCGCCTCACTATCAACAGCTTACAAAGCCTTGATCTTTCCGATCGGAAGCCAGTCCAGACCACCTCGGACATTAATCTCTCACTTTCAACTGTACATCGATCACCCTCCTGATGGATGAGAACCATTGAGAGGTACTTTGCCCAGTATAACAAGCCTTTGAGAAGGTCGCCCTTTTCTCTTGACGAGGAGCTTATGACCCTCGCCAGGAATACCAGCTTGTAGAAGCAGCCTCCCCCACACACGATGGCCAACCGGAAAAATGAAGCCCGATTAAACTGCTCAGCTTTATGCCAGTCGCCGGTACTTGAAGATGTGGTCGCCCACCCACCGCCAGCCATCAACCGCCCAACGAAGACCAAACCTCTAAACAAGCCACCGCCAGGTCCGAGCGCCCATCAATTTCGGGTGGCCACCAGTTCTGAGCGCTCATCAATTCTGGGCGACCACCAATGCCAGTCAGTTCCTCATCCACAACTTATCTCCCTTCTCTTGCCGTTCACCGCCACTACCCTGAAGACCAGGTTCGCTCCCAACGGGAAGACTGACATCCTTTTTTACTCAACCAATCGTCCAAGACTCTTTCAGCCGGACATATGGCGAGGCAACCATAGCCGGCGATCATGACTAGCGATCATGGCTGGCGACCAACCCGCTCGCTCTCATCAACCTTCACACACTAGTCTTCATGCTAGGGCATTCATGGCAGGCGACAATGGCAGACGACCTCCGTTTCGAAGCTCCGTGGTTTCACTAGTCAATTTTGGCTATCGGCGAGGCTCCCTTTAGCTCAGAACCGCCAGCCACTCATCTACCAACCATCTTATCTGTCTTCCCTCGATGGCAACGTGGAGATCGATTTTAAAGATTAACCGAGCAAACACTGAAGATTGAGTATTTCTCCTGCTCGGCTAAAGTGCTGAAAGAGAGGGAACTAACAAATGTGAAGGTCATCCCTGAAGACCGCGTATTCAAGTGTTGAAGGAGAGGGAACTAACAAATCACAAGTTATTATTGCAACTATGATGGCGGGCCCCTATTGAGAACTACAAGAAGTTAAAGTTAGCAAACATATGTGTTGTCTCTGCAAAGAAAGATACTTACGCAAGAATTGATTTCTTTGAAAGGCGTGCTATCAATTGGTGACCAAAGTCTACGTCTATTTTTTCTACATACACGTGACCTCAAAGATTGGTAAGGCATCACTTAATTAGAGTGCCTCAAAATACGTAATCAGAAGGTGACTTTAATTGCTATTATGATGGCGGCCAAATAATCCGGGGAAAAAGAACCATTACCGAAGGGCGATCCACTCGTACCTCAAGCAATCAACATTTACATGCCAAGTGCCCAATGACTCTCACATTGTCAGGTTTTATTTTCAACAATAATATCTTGTCATATATATGGCTCTTTTTCTTCATTCTATATCCTCTTATTTGATCATAATTTTCATACGAGCTGCTTAATAATTAACGGACGTAATGTCCATTTACAAGTTTTCTGCCCTCACGCTATCAGGGTGCCATTACGTGAAGCATCTATCAAACATGAATTTCCTTCTTCCATTTTAAATGGTGCGAAGTACATGATCTGACAATCACGTGAAAGCTAAGCAAAGCAAACATTTTTCAGAGCAAGTCTTTGAATATTGATTCTCGTGGGACCCACCTTAAAGATTTCATCTACATTCAAATTTCTGAAGAACAACAAAGGTCGTGCAGCCAAATAAATTGACAAGTCAATGAGGATATCAATATTTTTCTCACAGAATGGAACGCCCTTTTCAATTCTAAGGTCATTTGAAAATGCTCATTTGAAAATGGTAAGGGTCACATGCAAATAAAAGGAGTACAATATTTGACCGGCCAGACTTGAGACCGTTCAGAAGAAAGATGGCCACCTTCTCTATCGATCCTTCTGCTTATCCAACAGGAAGACCAGCTTTCCATCACGCCCAACAGGGAGACCAGCATTTCATCACTCCCAACAGAGAGGCCAACATTTCATCACGCCCAACATGGAGGCCAACATTTCAGCTCTCCCAACATGGAGACCAAGCTCTCATCCCGCCCAACAGGGAGGCAAGCATTTCATCACGCCCAACAGTAGGATTTCAGCTCTCCCAACATGG